TGGGCTCAAGCCATCCTCCTTCCTCAGCCTCCCAAATAGCTGGGATTACAGGCTCTCGCCACTACGTCCTGCTAATTTTTCTATTTTTAGCAGAGACGGGGTCTCCCTCTTGCTGAGGCTGGTCTCGAACTCCTGAGCTCAAGTGATCCTCCCACCTTGGCCTCCCAGAGTTCTAGGATTACAGGAGTGAGCCACCATTCCCGGCGCCATTGCCATTTTTGTAAGTCAATTTCATATAGCTCAACCTAATAGATTGGTGAAAAGGGCCCAAGGCAAACTTGGATTCAAATCCCAGCTCTAGTATGCAACATTCAGTCTGCATCACCTCTCTTGTGTAACCCTGGACACAACCTCTCTCTCAGCCACAGTTGCTTCATCTGTAAAATGGGCAGAAAAATAGTCTGTATCTCAGTGTTGTGGTGAAGATTAAATGAAATAATGCCTGCAGGGTGCCTGGCACGCTGCAATCCCTGAATAAATGGTGGCCATAAGTGCGGGTGATGTTTTCTTCCTTTTTTACTGTATTTTCCAAATTTCCTATAATTAATAATTACAGGCCGGGCGCGGTGGCTCACGCCTGTAATCCTAGCCCTCTGGGGGGCCGAGGTGGGAGGATTGCTTGAGCTCAGTTCAAGACCAGCCAGAGCAAGAGCGAGATCCCATCTCTACTAAAAATAGAAAGAAATTAGCCAATCAACTAAAAATAGAAAAAATTAGCTGGGCATGGTGGCATGTGCCTATAGTCCCAGCTACTCGGGAGACTGAGGCAGGAGGATCCCTGGAGCCCAGGAGTTTGAGGTTGCTGTGAGCTAGGCTGACGCCACGGCACTCTAGCCCAGGCAACAGGACAAGACTGTGTCTGGAAAAAAAAAAAAATTACAGTTTTGTTTCTTTAATTCTAAAGCCAATAAACATAATTATTTAATTTTCAACGGGATTGTGCTCCATTCCCTGGGGACCTCGAGCCTGTTCCTGGGAATGCGGTTGAAGGCTTTCTTCCAGCCCTGCTGCAGCTTGGCTTGGTCGGACAAAGACAGTGATCTGAGAACCGAGCTGGATGTTTGTGCTTGGAGGGACCCCGGGAGCTTTATTTATAGAGGACACTCTGTCCCGAGGCCAGAACTGCTCCCTCACTCCAGCATCTGCTGCATGGACTCAGCCGCCAGAGAGGCTGCCTCGACCCACCCTGCCCTCAAACCCTGGGTCACAGCGCTCAGTGTCCGCCTCGGTCACGACAGCCTTCGGTGCAGTACTCTTCCCTTAGGGGCTGCTTCTGGTTCTGAGCCCAGAAGCTAAGCTCAACTTTTACCATGGCCAATGCCCAGTGGGCTACACTTTCTGTTTGGGGTGATGAAAAAGTTTTGGAAATAAATAGTGGTGGAAATAAAGGCTACAAACTTTCAGTTACAAGATGAACAAGTTCTGGGGATCTAAGGTACAGCGTGTGTGGTGAGGGATGTGTTCGTTAGTGTGATTGTGCTACTCATTACACGAAGTATGTGTATGTCAAATCATCACACTGTACACGTTGAATATATACAATCTTATTTGTCAATGGAACAGTTTCACAAAGAATAGTGGCCGGGCACGGTGGCTCACGCCTGTAATCCTAGCTCTCTGGGAGGCCGAGGCGGGCGGATTGTTTGAGCTCAGGAGTTCGAAACCAGCCTGAACAAGAGCGAGACCCCGTCTCTACTAAAATTAGAAAGAAATTAATTGGACAACTAAAAATATATAGAAAAAAAAATTAGCCGGGCATGGTGGCACATGCCTATAGTCCCAGCTACTTGGGAGGCTGAGGCAGAAGGATTGCTTGAGCCCAGGAGTTTGAGGTTGCTGTGAGCTAGGCTGACGCCACGGCACTCTAGCCCTGGCAACACAGTGAGACTCTGTCTCAAAAAAAAAAAAAAAAAGAATAGTGATAATTGCACAACATCGTGAGTATAATTGAATGCAATTGGTGCCACTGAATTGTACACTTAAAAATGGTTAAGATGACAAATTTTATGTTATATAGATTTTACCACAATTTATTTATAAGTAAAAAAAACCCCAGGATGAAAGGACTAAAGGGAGAGAAGATTTCATGAAATAACCTAGGACTGGCCAACACCACACTAGGAGACCTGGCTTTAGGCCTGTTCCGCTCCTTATTTGGGTCCAATTCCTTTGAGGCTCAGCCTCCTCTTCTGCCAAATGGCATGATACCATGCTGCCCTCCCAGGGTGGTCATGAAGCTCAAATATGATCAAACGTGTGAAACTCTTTTGTAAAACATTCAAAACTTGTTTTAGTTTTTTGTTGTTGTTGGTTTTTTGCAGTGGTACAATCATAATTCACTGCAACCTCAAACTCCTGGCCTCAATTGATCCTCCCACCTCAGACTCCCAAATAGCTAGGACTATAGGCCATACCCAGCTAATTTTCCTTATTTTTTAGAGAGGGGGGTCTCACTATATTGCCCAGGCTGGTCTTGAACTCCTGACCTCAAGTGATCCTCCTGCCTCAGCCTCCCAAAGTGCTGGGATTACAGGCGTGAGCCACCTCTCCTGGCCTCAATAATTAATTACAATTATCACCCCATCACCACCAAAAAAAAGATAGAAGAAAAGAAAGGAACAAACCCATCATAATCAAAATACCGGAATACCATTCTTTTGCTGTGAGGTTGCCTGAAATTGCACCTTGAGGCTTGGATTACTGTTAAATGGAAACCTCTAGAAATAAGGAAGGGAAAAGAGGAAACTAAAGGAAACTCTCGAGCTCTAGCTCCTCTCCGTAAACGGGATGCTATATTTTCTCTTGGGTTGGCTTTTGTGGGACTCCCAGGGAGGAGACGGTGAGACTGAAGGCGTCAGAGGAGAGCAGCTTAGAGAAACAAAAGAGCAGAAACAGGAAGGCTGGGGCGCCAAAGAGCCACCCCAACATCACAATTTGTCCCAGCATTAGGCAGAGGAGAAGTGCCCTTGGCGTGTCCCCTCTCCCCCGATCCCCACCTTAGGTTGCCTTTCCCATCTTTCTCCTGGGAGATTTATTTCTGTCTCTTTTTTCATCTAAAGCAACGGAAATGAATCATCTTGCAGCCTGTTTAGTAAACAGCCCCATGCCCCCTGACCCCAGATGTCCCAGTGCTCCCTCTGTGGCTGCTCCAGAGCGAGGCCTCACCCCTTCACAAGCAAGACCCCTCAGGGCTGGTTATTCTTGGGAATGTTCTGCCCCCTCCCCAGCCCCCTGCAGTCCTGGCAGCTTGACCTCCTGCACCCTGGGGAGGACGGGAAATAACACACAGCATTCCAAATGACAATCCCACCAGCTGGCAAGAGGGGTAGGGGAAGCAAGGGAACCACTGTGTTTTGAGGGCTTTGTGTGCCATCTCAACAACCCTGTTAGTGGATCTCGCAATCCTCATTTTACAGATGAGGAGTTCAAGGCTCAAAGATGTGAAGGAACTTGCCCAAGGACAAACAGCTGGTCAGTGATGAAGCCGACACTTAAATTAAAGCCGACACTGGATTTCTGGATTCATTCCCTTGTACCCTGTGGCCCTGTGCATGTGTGTTGAAAGGGGTGTGGGCAGGTCAGCTGAGTATCAGCTGCGATTTATCATGGTGGAAACCGGTCATCTGTGTGCATTAAGCCATGTGCCTGTGATAGATGGGTGTTTACCTGCAGAGGAGAGAGCAAGGATGCGCAGTATATATTTTACCAGGAGCTTCAGGAGTCACCAAGGATGATGTCAAGGAGTGACAAGGTTCCAGAACAGAGGGGAAGGGGATTAATGAAATGCCCAAATTCAAGACCACCGACGCCCTGCCGTCACCTCGTGGTGATGGAACTTCACAGATCAACGTGCCCAGCTGTGTCCACCTCCGTGAAACCACACTTCCTGGTGAACACAACCATGCAACTATTCATTGGATTTCTAAAAATGTGCAGGTGCTGTTTCTAGCAGCTATGAAGGATACAGAAATAAAATTGCTGAGGTCAAAATTTCTAGTGTGGCCATATGTTTGGGGCAAGGGGTGAAATTAACACAAGTATATAAATAACTGTGGTGCAAGATAGATAGAAAGTGCTCAGGCTCTTTTGCTATCACAATGGGGCCGGTCGTCATCTGTGGCCTATGTATCTTGCTCTGTAAACCTTTATCTGGCTCTTGCTCTACAATCCTATTTTTCTCTCCTCAATAAACCTTATTTTCTTGCTTAAAAAAAGAAAGTACTCAGGACCATGGCCAGGTGCGGTGGCTCACGCCTGTAATCCCAGCGCTTTGAGAGGCAGCGGTGGGAGGATAGCTTGAAACCAGCCTGGGCAACACAGCAAGACCCCCGTCTCTACAAAAAAATAAGAATAATTGTCCAGGTGTGGTGGCATGTGGTTCGTGTAGTCCCAGTTGCTGGGAAGGCTGAGGCAGGAGGATCACTTGAGCCCAGGAGTTCGAGACTGCAGGGAGAAATGAATCCTGCAACTGTACTCCAGCCTGGGTGACAGAGCTAGACACCGCCTCACAAAAAAAAAAAAAAAAAAAAAAAGTGCCAAAGGCCAAAAGAAATGGACAGATCCTATAACAGTGTTCTAGGAGGACCAGGGGGTGCCGAGATTGCTAGAGAATGGGTATCAAGGAGGGCTTCCTGAGGAGGTGGCGTTGCATATAGCTTTGTCTCTCAGTAGACGTAGGATCCTACATCAGCAGAACGCTTTAGCAGAAGTTAGATTCTGTTTAATTTTCCAAGCAGCCCTGAGATGCAGACATACGTCCTTGTTGCTCTTTTACAAAGGTGGAAACTGAGGCCCAGAGAGGTTGAATAGCTTGTCCCTGGTCTCGCAGCGAGCAGCAAGTGGCGGGCCAGGATTTTTGATCTCGGGCCAGGTGCCCAGCCCCAAGTCCCGGGCTCCTGTCCCTCCCCGCCGGTCGGCAGAGCTCAGGGCCGGCCTGGGTTGGCCGAGGGAGGGGCGGAACGTCTCGGAGAGGCGGGGCTGGGCGCCGCGGACTGGGTCCCTGTCCCGCTGCCCGGCGGGCCGAGCGCACGGACCATGGGCGGCCGCGGGTCTGGGGGCTGCAGGGCCGAGCCCCGCTGAGCCCCGCCGAGCCCGCCGAGCGGGCCATGGGCGACAGCGAGCGCAACAAGAAGCGGCTGCTGGAGCTGCTGCAGGCGGCGGGCACCGGCAACGCGCACTGTGCCGACTGCGGCGCGGCGGGTAAGGGCGCGGCGGGCGCGCAGCCCGGGACCCCCAGCCCGACCCCCGGCCGCCAGACTCCTCCTCCCACCGCGCGGAGGCCCGCCCCCGCCCCGCGGGACCCAGGCGTGACGCCTTCGGGCCGGGCCCCTCTGTCGCCCAGACCGTGAACCTCCGACCCGGGCCCGGACAGTCCCCTGGGCATCGGCACCCCGCCCACCCGAAGCCGGGCCCCTGCCTCCCACTCTGTCCTTGGACCCCGACACTCGATCCCGCAGCCGCCAGCGCTGACGGTCCTGCTCCCCGGGCCCGGGGTCTTGGTGTCTTCCCTCCGACCCGGGCGCGCCCCACGCCCTCAGACGCAGACACTGCACGCACGAGGGACCCCGGACCTCCGACCCAGGCCCCCTGACCGTCCTGTGTCCCCTGCCTGGCCCCGGACGCCCAGGCGCCCGCCGCACAGCGCTGCGACCCCGCGGACGCCCGGGGGCCCTGACCCGGACCTCCCCGCCTGCGGGTCCCGCCCTCCCCGTCCTCCTCTCGGTTCCCCTGAGTCCTGTAACTTCCACGTCGCGCCGCCTCAGACTCTCGCCTCCACTCCTGGACTCCCTCCGAGATCTTCACGCTGGTCGCCGCCGAGCCACGGCCCGTGCGCTGCAGAGGTTCCGCGCTGGGAACCTAGTTACCCCTAGGCCGGGAGACCGAGAGAGCAGGGGTACCGGGCATGGGCAGAGCTGGCCACGGCCCCAGAATCCTGTCGGGCCCTGCCCGGACTTGGTTTCCTCGCCTTGCTCCGCTCAGCTGCCCTCCTGCCCTCTCGCCCCGCAGATCCCGACTGGGCCTCGTACAAGCTGGGCATCTTCATCTGCCTCAACTGCTCCGGCGTCCACCGCAACTTCCCGGACATCAGCAAAGTTAAATCCGTGAGACTTGACTTCTGGGACGACAGTATCGTGGAGGTACAAAGGCGTGCGTGTGGAGAGCCCAGGAACACGGAGCTGAGGTGGTGGGCGGGACGCTCCCATTCTACAGAGGAGGAAACTGAGGCCCAGGGTGGGGCAATTCTTCTAGCAAAAGGGAACACAGCCTCTTACAGGGCGGCCGAGACAGAGGACCCGAATTCAAATTCGAGCTCCGTCAGTTGCTTACTTGCAAGCCGTGAGGGCCTGGAGCTAGTTACTTAATCCCCACTGCGAACCCTCAATTTCTGCAACCGGATTATAGGGAAGCCACCACCCTTTCACAGGGCGGCTGTGGGGATTCAATGTAGGCTCAGCCCAAGCACAAAGTAGTCATTTAACAGTGGCTGTTGTCATTAGTGGAAGTCCTGGAATAGGGGAAGGAAATATCCCACTTCATGGTCTGTGGTCCTGCTCCCCTCCCCCAGCCAGGAAAAGGACCACTTTACTCTCCTCCAGTGAAACCAGTAAATCAGCACATGCACCTGAAGGGTTTTTATTTGTGCCTTGTAACTCCCCTGTTATATTTTCTTCCTTTTTCCAGGTGAGGTCCCACAGGTCACTCAGTGAATAAATGGCAGAGTCAGGATTTGAACTCCGCTCTGTTGGGTCCAAAGCTGGTGCAAATCCCGAGACACAGCCCATCAGGCCCCGCAAGGGAGGAGAGTAGGGTTCGCTCTGCCCAAGGGGTGTGAATTAATAACCTGGTATTTCTTCCTATTCCTGCCCTCGCCCCAGATAGGCCACTGCTGCTGAGGCCACTCTTGGCACATCAGCCTCTGGGTCTCTTAGGTGCCAAGGGGCCCACTAATCATCCAGACCTGTATGTTCTATGGGGCCAGCACCCACTTCTCCCATCCTGCAGCTACACTGGTCTCCTGCAGACTTTCAGGGTTGCAGGGGGTCCTGGCCATCTGTGGAGGGACTTGAAGAAAGAACATGAGCTTTGGAGTCAGACAGATCTGGGTTCAAATTTCAGCTCTCCACTTATAGCTGTGTTTCCTTAGGCAAGTCACCTAACCTCTCTGAGCTGCAGTTTTCTCATCTCTCAAATGAGAATGGTGCTATTTAATAGTTAAGGATCCAATGAGCCGAAGTGTGAGAACTGTCAAGTGCTGTGCCTATGTGAGGCGCAGTTATTACCGCCCTCCTTGGTCCAGGCTGGGGCTGCCCAGCAGCGTGGATGGACAAGCCCCGGGGGACATCTCCTCCTTGGGGGCAGTTTCTCACTGACTCAGCCCTAGGAGTCAGTGAGACCAACAGCCTTCTGGGTAGACCATAGTTTCATTTCACATTTTTTTGAGTTCTAATATTACTTCGAGTTGCTCTTGTCTTGCAGTTTATGACCCACAACGGGAACCTCCGTGTAAAGGCCAAGTTTGAAGCCAGAGTTCCAGCTTTTTACTACATCCCCCAGGCCAACGACTGCCTGTGAGTGGTGATTCTGTAGGGAATGGGTGAGGGGTCTTCCTGGTTCCTCGTTCCCCAGCCCTGCCTGTCTCTATTGCCTTTGTCTGTGGTCGTCTCTTCTGTGGAAGAGAAAGATCCAGGACAGCCTTCAGTACCAGCATGGAGAGCACATGGGAGACCTGGGTTAAGCCTCTTTCCACTGGGTGTGTCACTTCCCCTCTCTAGGCCTCAGTTTCCACAGCTGTGAAATGGAGGTTTTCTCTATGATCTATGCCTCTGCCTCTGACGTTCTTGTAGCCTTCAGATAGAGGGAGAAATGCTGGTACTTTAATAGAACAAGTGTGTTTCAGTTAGTTCCTATGGAGTCATGTTCTAGGGCTGTCCCACCCAAGCTCAAGTTGGCTCCAAGTAACTGAGCTGCAGATCCCTAAATAAAAACCATAAACATAATAGTAGCTACTAATTTTTTTTTTTTTTTTTTGACAGAGTGTCACTCTTTTGCCTGGGCTAGAGTGAGTGCCGTGGTGTCAGCCTAGCTCACAGCAACCTCACACTCCTGGGCTCAAGCAATGCTTCTGCCTCAGCCTCCTGAGTAGCTGGGACTACAGGCATGTGCCACCATGCCCGGCTAATTTTTTCTATATATTTTTAGTTGGCTGATTAATTTATTTTCTATTTTTAGTAGAGACGGGGTCTCGCTCTTGCTCAGGCTGGTTTCGAACTCCTGAGCTCAAACAATCCACCCGCCTCGGCCTCCCAGAGTGCTAGGATTATAGGCGTGAGCCACCGCGCCCGGCCGTAGCTACTAATATTTATTGAGCTTTGCCTCTGTACCAGACTCTGTGCTAAATGCTTATGTGCGTTAATTTAATTCTCTCAACAACCCTATGAGATAAGTACCGCTATTAATATTATCCCCATGATATAGATGAAAACCTGAGTTTTCATCTGAATCTAGTCCATCAGACACCAGGGCCTGGGCGACTGTATCATGGCATTGGGAGAATCTAATATGACAGGGGGGCTGTGAAGCAGCGGGAGGTTCAGGTGCCCTGGAGATGGGGGTCAGTGTGACACTGGACCTCTGTAGGACTAGACTACCTAAGCCTAAGACTTCTTCCCAGGACTCAGCCTCACCACCAGGGCTACTAGTCAGTGCCTTGTGTAAATGAGGAGAAGATAACCCTCCCTCTAGGGGCATGGCTGCATTGCAGCTTCCTAGCCTCAGCAGGGTGCTTTTGGGCAGTGCACAAACTACACAACTGTACCTGGTGGTGTTGCAATTTCTCAGTACTCAGTCAACCCAAGGGCTACTGATGCAGGTGGAGTGGTGGAGGAAGCATAGCTTTCTACTTGGAAGACCTTGGTTTTGTTTCCCGACTCTACCCTACCCAGCTGCTGGACAGGTGACCAGACTTCTCTGATTATCAGCATCCTCATCTCTGAAATGTAGATCATGTTGCCCAACCATGTAGCATGGTGGTGGAGATTACATGAAATAACTTATGTAAAACCTGTCACATGCCACCCGACATACTATTAATAGTTTTAATCCATTTCTCAGTGTCAGCTTCAGAACACTGCCAGTGGCTGGCCCAGCTGCAGGAAGTGCTGGCTCAACTTGAGCGGGCCTGTCTCCTCCTGTCTCACTGCTGCCACTCTGCTCTTTGTTCCAAACTCCCGGTTAGCATCTACTATGTGCTAGGATTTCTGCTGGCACCACATAGACATTACTTGCCATGACTCTAACAGCAGCCCTGCACTTTAACCTTTTTTAGCTGAGTACTAATGGCTGCCTCCCCCCAATTCCAAAACTCCCCTAAATCCCCATCCCCAGGACTGGGATTGGTGGCCCTCAGTCCCCATTCCCTCTCCCAGCTCTGATCCTGTGACCCAGGGTTCCCACCCCATGGTGGGCCTGGTGACTCTCTTCCGTGTCCGCGGGGTGAGAGCTGTGCATTAGGAAGGACTCCTGATTGTAAGTGGCAGAAACACAATTTAAACTAACTTAGGCAAAAGAGGATGTTATGGGTTCTGGGGATCAGACCACAGGAAGGACAAAGGTAGAGCCAGCCTCAGGAAGGACCAAGCCAGGAGCTCAAACATGATCAGTGGCCAGGCTGGCTTCATGCCACCAGCAGCAAGGCCACTTCCTGATGCCAGGCTACACCTCCCAGCGTGGCCCTGGAAGGGGCTTCCAATCAATCTCTCCTACAGTTCTGGTCCTTTTGGTCCACACAATCCAGGGGCGCCTAGAGCTTTGAATGCCATATGCCCTGGTCCAGATCATTCTCATAGCTATGGGTAAGGTCATGTCAACCTTGGAACATTTACCTGGAAAAGGTGAGAGGGAATCAAACAATTAAATTAAGTGTACTCTTGGCTGCATGGTTTTTCTGCAGGGGTCACGGATCACAATATCTGATCGGGGTAGCATTAAATACATACTATGTGCCGAGTATAGTGCTGGGCCCTTTACATACATTTAAACATCTCAACAACTCTGGGGGGTAGGCATGTATACCCCAAATTCGGAGGAGTTAAGTGAGCTGCTCTTGGTCACACAGTGGATAAATGATAGAGTGAGACCTAGTTTGAGGTGGTCAGACCCCAAGACCACTGCTCTGTCCAGTGTAGCATGCCCAGATGTCATGGGCAGGCCACAGGAGGATGCTCTTGGACTCTCCTGGCTTAACCTCATCAACGGGCAGTGGAAGGGGGCAGTGTAGATGGTCCAGGGGAGTCGGTAGCCGTCTCATTGACCTGGAGAGCTGAGGCTGGGGTTGGAACAGGCTCTCAGCGCAGGCTCTCATATAGCTCACGGGAGAAATATTTCCCCCCAGGAGACATTTGGCAATGTCTGAAGACATTTTTGGGTATCACAACTGGGGAGGGTGTGCTACTGGCATCTAATGGGCAGAGGCCAGAGATGCTGCTAAACATTCTGTGAAACACAGGATAGCCCCCCACACCAAAGAATTATCCAGCACCGAAGGTTAATAGTACTGAGGCTGAGAAGCCCCGGATAGCCTGAGCAGGCAGCAAGGCAGCTGCTGTGACGTTCCCACTCTCAGCTGCAGGGTCTTGGAACGTTACTGTGGGGAAAGAATGTGTCAGACACAGCTGACCGAAGGTTCTCTCTCTGTAGGGTCTTAAAGGAGCAATGGATTCGAGCTAAGTATGAGAGACAGGAATTTATGGCTGATGGGAAAACCATCTCACCCCCAGGTAAAGTTATTTTCATCATCTTTTGAGATCTCTGTTCTAATGAGTTTTAAAAAATAAAGTGCCTGAATGTTAGGAGCAAGATCCATCCAAGAGATACCTGCTGCCCTTGCTTTCGTCAAGAGGTCAAGGTGTGGATTCTTCTGACTTTGAAATAACAACACATCAGCTGGTGGGGTTTTATGGTTTGAGCAGCGGAGAAGCATATTTTTTATAAGTCCTTGTAGGGCACAAGCACATACAGAGTATTGGTATAAATTGCAAGAAGACGCCTCCACTGGGCAGACCGATTCGAAAAAGGCAGCGCTGCCCCTGGCTAATACCGCTCCTGCTGCAGCTCGAGTCTTGGTGAGGAGCATGGGCTGGATTTCAGCCTCCCTTTCTGCTATTGTGCAGGGTACAACCTCCTTGGTGGCCCTGGACCTGTGGCAGCTTCACCCTGCTCCCCCGAGTCCAAGCTGACACTGACCCAGAGAGCAAAGTATTCAAAACCACTCTTGGAGGCCCCAAGGCAGCCAATGCTCAGCTCTCCTGGCTACCAGGAGTACAAGTTATTCTTCAAACCAGCATATGCCTTCATTACTCCTGAAGTTCCATTAGGCCGATGTTAACGTGAAGTTGGGGAGGACCATATATATTTAGGCCTCTTTCGGAATCAGTTCAGTCTCTCAGCGTTTAGCCTTCTTAAGGGTTTGTTATGTCTTCTTATGAGACAGCCTGATGCCACGGAGAGCCAAAGAGGAAAGGTTTTGCTCAGTGGGGGAAGTCCAACTGAAATAATAAGACATCGCAGAATTGGCCCCAGATGGGACCCTTGTGTCCTGCAGATGAAATAGCCAAGTTTAGCTGGAGATGCTTGGGCAGCAGGTGGAGGGCTCATTCCGCCCTGAGACCCTATGAGTTTTGTGAGCCGCTTATCGCCTCAAGGTCACGGGTATTCAATTTTTTCTGATTGTTGGTGGTTAAGGTAACCGAGAAGGATTCCTGTGGAAGCGGGGAAGGGACAACGCACAGTTCCTGAGAAGAAGGTTTGTCCTTCTGGCAAGAGAGGGTCTCCTGAAGTACTACACTAAGGAAGAGGTGAGAGGTCAGCCCAGCAAGGGGTTCCCTCCCTGAGCACTGGGCTCTCACCCCACTAAGGTCTACATTTTAATCAATGGCACCTTGTCTTGTGGATAATCTCCGCCACCGAGTCTTGAGTGTCCTCTTTCTGTCTTTCAGGGTAAAAGCCCTAAAGCTGTCATCAGCATCAAGGACTTGAATGCCACCTTCCAGACAGAGAAGATAGGGCACCCCCACGGGCTGCAGATCACCTACAGGAGGGAGGGCCACACCAGGAACCTGTTCGTGTACCATGAAAACGGGAAGGTGAGACGACTGGAGCGCCACCGCGCCCTCCAGCTCGGCACCCCAGGACTCGGCAGGCCCAGCTCGCCACCTCCCTTGCTCATTTGGTGATGTGCTCAGCTGCCTTTTGTGGTTCGCTGCTGCTGTTTGCTGTATTTATTGTCACTTCCCAGCCTGAGACAGAGGTATGAGGAAGGCAGAGCAAGATCAGGGAGAAGAACTTGGCCAGCCACAGATATATCTGGCCAGTGCACAGCCACCCGTGGGAGTCCAGTTAGCAGAAGCAACTATGCCCAGGGATGGCAAACCAGGTAGGGCCAGAGATTCCAAATATGGGGAGAGGAATGAACAGACAATCAAAGGTGGCAGTGCAAGGGGACCTTGCTTCTCAATGCATTAACAGCATTGGTATCACACAGAAGCTTGTTAGAAATGGAGTCTCAGGGCCAGGCGCAGTGGCTCACGCCTGTAATCCTACCACTCTGGGAGGCTGAGGCAAGAGGAGAAGATTGCTTGAGGCCAGGAGTTTGAGACCAGCCGAGCAAGAGCAAGACCCGTCTCTACAAAAAACAGAAAATTTAGCTGGGCATGGTGGTGTGCACCTGTAGTCCCAGCCACTTGAGAGGCTGAGGCAGGAGGATCGCTCGAGCCCAGGACTTTGAGGTTGCTGTGAGCTATGATGATGCCACTGCACTCCAGCCTGGGGGGCCAAGTGAGACCTTGTCTCAAAAAAAAAAAAAAAAAGAAAGAAAGAAAGAAATGGAGTCTCAGGCCTACCTCTGACCTACTGAATTAGAAACTGCATTTTAATAGGATACCTGGTGATCCCTATGTACGTTAAAGTTTGAGGAGCACACTTAATTGTCCGGGAACCCAGCCCAGGCAGAGAAGAGCAGGCCAAGAAAATATGGGTCAGAGCCTGGGCAGGGTCACGTGACTGCACAGGGCCCAGAGATGCTAAGTGGGGGTGGGAGGAAGGTGGGGGCTGATGTTTTGTGAGCCTCTAATAGACTACAGTCTCCTGTGGACACTGTTCTTGGTGATTGTTATCTGTCATTTCTTGATCCTCAAAATAACACCCATGTTACTGAGGCGTGGATGTGTTAAGTAACTTGCTTGAGGTCACACAGCCAGTGGTTCCTGAGCCCTGCACCCATTGTACTACCCTATGTCCCTCTGCTACAGGGAGAGCCCCTGGCAGCAGGAGCCAGGAGCCAGGTTCAGGGACTAGACTTTCCCAAGGGACCCCAGTACCAGGGTGCCAACCATGGTCGCCCTCCCAGCAGGCTTCATGCTTTCTTCCTAGTCAGGGCAGAGTTCCTGGTAGGACGACCTGAAGAGCAGGGATTTGGAGTCAGAGCTGGAGACCTGGCTCTGCTGCTCTCAGCTGTGTTACTGGGGCAGGTCCCTTCCTTCCTGAGTTTGCTTGTTTGTAGATTATAATATCCACCTTTCAGAGGGGTTTTGAGGATTGAGTGAACATGAACCATGAATATTTCATAACCATGTAGTGCATTGCAAACATTAGTGGCTGCAGTTAGCATTTGCTCATGATTATGGCAGATGTAAAGGCAAAGTCTTGCAGCCAATTTCGCACCTGTGTCGTTTATTAATTTAGAAATCCACTCTTGAAATTCACAAGTCCTTATTGAGCCCCTGTAATGTGCAAAACACTGTGCTAGGTTCTAGGGAGTGTGTAGTGGATGAGGCAGAGCTGTGGGCCTCAAAGATCTTGCAGTCTAGGAAGGGACACAGACGGGAAGCAGGTGCAAAGGACACCATGTGATGGGTGGTGGTCATGCTGTGGACACTCAGAGGACATGGAAGTGGCACAGTGGGGGTGGACGAGGTCAAAAGGCTTTCTGTAGGAATTAGTTGCTATTTAAGAATTGTGTGAGGCCGGGCGCGGTGGCTCACGCCTGTAATCCTAGCATTCTGGGAGGCCCAGACGGGCGGATTGTTTGAGCTCAGGAGTTCGAAACCAGCCTGAGCAAGAGCGAGACCCCGTCTCTACTAAAAATAGAAAGAAAATTAATCGGACAACTAAAAATATATAGAAAAAATTAGCCGGGCATGGTGTCTCATGCCTGTAGTCCCAGCTACTTGGGAGGCTGAGGCAGAAGGATCGCTTGAGCCCAGGAGTTTGAGGTTGCTGTGAGCTAGGATGACGTCATGGCACTCACTCTAGCCAGGGCAACAAAGTGAGACTCTGTCTCAAAAAAAAAAAAAAAAAAAAAGAATTGTGTGGCTAGGTATAGTGGCTCATGCCTGTAATCCCAGCACTTTGGGAGTTCTAGGTGGGAGGATCAGTTGAGGCAAGGAGTTCAAGACCAGCCTTGGCGACATAATGAGACCCTGTCTCTGCAAAGAAAAGTTAAAAATTAGCCAAGTGTAGTGGTGTGTACCTGCAGTCTCAGCTACTCAGGAGGCTCAGGCAGGAGGATCGCTTGAGCCCAGGAGTTTGAGGCTGCAGTGAGCTATGATTGTGCAGTGGTACACTAGCCCTGGGTAACAGAGTGTGACTCCATCTCAAAAAAAAAGAATTATGTGAATACACTAAATAGGAGCACACTTGAACCTGTTCAAAGGGGGCATGGAGGAGCCAAGTGTGGTGGCATGTGCTTGTAGTGCCAGCTACTTGGGAGGCTGAGGCAGAAGGATCTCTTGAGCCCAGGAGTTCAAGACCAGCCTGGGCAACATAGTAAGACACCCATCACTTAAAAAAAAAAAGGCGGGGCATAGATGGGAAAAACACAGAGATATTTACTTCAACGGCAAAAAGTATGGTGGGGACTCATGAGAGATTAGAATTAGAAACTCCGTGTGTATGTGTATGTGTGTGAGGGAGAGAGAGAGAAAGAGAGAAGGAGAGAGAGGGAGAGGAAGAGAGAGAGAAAAAGTACACTCTTTCTAACAAACTAGTCTATAACACCAGGGATACAAATAATGTCACACTTCTTTGTTTCTCTAAATTCAAGGGCTTCATTCCCAAAATTAGCAAGAAATCTCCTATCAGTCATCTTCCTTGGCTCCCTCCCTTGGTTTTACCAGAATCTTGGGTCTTATGCCGTCTGGGAGACATGAGGGGATCCCTGGTTCTCAGTCGATGGTGGGCTCTCTGCTGTTGCCCCATGCCCAGACTGGGTGGACACTGGTGGCCACCCCTCCATGCCGATCACTGCCATGAGGACTTTTGTCAAGGTGCCCGATGTCTCTGACACTTAGGAGACCCGGCTCCCTCTCATTTGCCCAGCTGAGGTGCATCTGACGGTGTGGGGCTGGCCGTGCACCTCATTCACTTATGCTGCAGCCTCTGTCAGATGGGCACCATGGGGGCTGCAGACTCACGCCCTCAGCAGCCAGGTAGGTCATTCAAAAGTGAAGTGGACAGGTATAAGGAGTGGTGGAGGCTGCGGCAAACAGGAAAACCTGCATCAAGGATGGAAGCAAACAAAACTTCAGGAGCCAAACAAACACGGCCCTAAGGTCACCAGTTTGTGACAGGAGAACCTTCCAAAGTGAAGGCCTGGTGGCATCTTCTCTGGGCTGACCCCATTCCCGTAGTGCCTGAGACCTAAGAAGGTTCTTGACAAACCCCTGCATGGAGAGAGCTCAGAACCCTGGAATACTGGCCCGTGTCTGACCTGTGGGGGAGGACAAGAAATGGTTTCAAAGGAACCATATTCAAATGACTTTCCCAATCACCGTACTACATCAAAGTCCAGCACTGCAGCTATTTGAACAAGTCTCTTGGCCTCCCAATTCCAAATTCCTGGGAGAAAGAATCTGATAAGCCCAGTCGAGCCTCTGTATTGGTCCAGCCCTGGTCCAGTTGCTGCGGCCAAGGAGGGGCAGGATCATAGCGGTGAACGGGGTTGCAGTTGCGGGTGGGTGAGGACAGGTGGGACAGTTCCCACAGAAGCAGGAGTTGGGCTGAGCAAGCACCCAAAAATCTATCTATTACAACATCTAAACTAACCTGCAGGATGAGTAAAATGTTCTGGGGAAAAGGTGTGTGTGGGAGGGAGGTGGGGGACACAGAATGTCCCAAGGGGAGGGAACAGCATGTGCTGGGGTAGTTGCAAAAAGTTTGGGGTGGAAGGAGCTCAGAGGAGAAAGTAAGTCATACTAAAGAACTTAGACTCCTTTTCTGAGGGTGGTAGAGAGGACTCTAAGCCAGACTGCGTTAGGTTTGTGATTAGAAAATCACTCTGGCTGCCCTGAGAGGGCCAACTGAGAGCAGAAGATCAAGGCCAGCTAGATGCGTGGTTGTCCAGGTGGGAGACGATGGGGGCCCGCACTGCCGAGGGATGCCTTCTCGCAGAGGGACAGCAGACAGGGTCAAGCCAGCTGTGGCCTAAGCTGCACTCCAGGCCACGGGCGAATTCCTGTTGGAGGAGCATCTCCAGGAGCACCTGCCCCGCACCCAAGCGCCGGCCTTTGACACCTGAGGATAGCACTTCCCTAGACCCTTGCTCCTCAAAGTGTGTTCCATGGCCTGAGAGCTTGTTAGGAATGCAGAGTCTCAGGCCCGCTCCAAACCTACTGAATTTGAATCTGCACTTTAACAAGATGCCTGGAGGGTTGGGGAGGGGGCGGAGTTCACGTACACATTAGAAAACGAGAAGCTCCGTCCTAGGCCATTTCGGAACGCCCGTGCGGTTCACCCCAAGCCTTTCACATGGCTCTGGGGTTCTCCGCATCAGTGACTCCCCACTTTAGCCCCTGGGGCTCAGACAAAGCCCTCTGGGATTCCCCGAGTGGAGCTGCGGGGTGTGTGCGTGTGCTGGGCGCAGTGCTGCCCCACACCCGCCAGCCCAGCCAGCTTCCTGCCCCCGACTCAGCCTCCACCCCCACCCATCTCACCACTGTCCGCGTGGCCTTTGCATTTTCTTGGCAGGAGATAGTGGACTGGTTCAACGCCCTCCGCGCGGCCCGTCTGCAATACCTAAAAACGGCCTTTCCTGAGCTCCCGGAGTCTGAGGTGAGCTAAATGCGGACCCCAACTTCTGAGCCCCCTCTCGGCCACCTCCTTCTCTCCCTGTCTGCTGACCCTGAAGACACTCAGAGGCCAAGCTAGATTTGTTTGCAGGCAAGGCCTTAGACTTGAGGGGTGGGCACCTCGAAGGGAAACCAAAAGCCTTCTCTTGGGGAGCTGGGGGATTACAGCCTCACGCGCGGGAGATGCTGTTAACCAGCGGCCTCCAAAAAGCAGGTCAGTCTCTCCCCTGAGGATGCCCGGCTGCTGTCCACGGCGTCAAGGGGCTCAGCCTTTGGGCGTCTCTTTCTGACCCCTTCTCCCACTGAAATGTACACCGATCCCTAACGTACTGCTGACAAAGTGCTTTGGAGCCCATCTTACTTTATAATCCCTTTTATCTTGTAATCTCTTACACGGGCAGTGGGGGTGGGGTGATTATTCCCATGTTACCGATGAGAAACTGAGTCCCAGGAGGGTCAAGTGAATAACCGAAGGTGCTCTTCCCTCTCTGCCATCCTCCCTTTGCCCTCTGGTGTTCTGGGCTCTGGAAGGCCACGGGGCCTCCCCGTTACAACTGTCACAGGACCCGGTCTGCCTTCTGTGGCCAAGGTAATGGTTAGCCTGAGAACTTCATGTTGATTGTCCCCAGACGTCTGGGGCCTCTGTCTGCCTCTCAGTGACGCACTGAGACGGCAGCTCTCTGGGAGCAGTCCCAGCAAGGCCCGGGTCAGGCCTCGAGGTCAGTCTGCCGAGTCAGCACCCAGAACCGATGAACGCAGTTTCCCAGGGGCGGGAGTCGAGAGTGCTGACTGGCATGAAGGGAGGACAAAGTGCAGACCTCAGCCTCCTTAGTCCGGGCCAGCTTCCCATCTTTGCTCACCCGTGTGGAGGAAATTGGTCTTTGGCCAACACTCTCAATGTTGCCTTGCCCCACTCATCCACCATCATGACCTCTTCTCCAGTATCCTCCCAGCCCGCCTCTTCCTCTGTCTTTCCTCCCACCCTGTGTCTGGGTACGGTGTGAGGCTCTGGGCAATCACCGGCCTGGCTCAGGCTTAGGGCTCCAGATGCTGGGAGCCCAGGGAGTGCCAGTGGGGTCGTGGCCCTACAGTAGGAAAGGCATATGGAAGTCAGAGAAGCCGATGTGTTACCTGGGGCAAGTCACCACACCTCTCCGAGCCTCAGTGTACCCATCTGTCACCGTCGGGACAATGCCCATTGTGAGAATCGAGTGTGCCAAGGCATCTGAGTGCAGGAAGAAGCACTCCAACCATGTGATTTTCCTTCTTTTTCCAGTTGTTTCCCAAGCAGTCTTGAGTAGCCCTGCATTAGCTCAAGTTCAGAATATTGAGCAGTTAGGGACTCTATTTTCTCCAAATGGAGGACTTAAAGCCTAGCGAACATATTTTAGGGAAAGAGGGGTGGTATAATTTATATTTTCATTTTCAGCTCACAGTTTTCCTTCCCCCTTTCATATTTCCCATTGCTATTCCCCAGACCTCACTTCCCCTCTGCCCCTGCCCTGGGCCCTGGAGTTCTGGGGAACCTCCTCTGTTCTTGGAAACCTAGACTGTTATTTGAAGCTCTTGACTTTACAGGTGGACCCCCTGGAGCACAGGAGGCCAGCGTCTATCCCTGGAAGCTTCTCTGAGCACAGGATGGCAGGCTGGAAGGGACCTAGGCATCATATGGTCCAGTCTCCTTGTTACACGGGGAAAACAGGCAGAGAGATATGTCGGGTCTTACCGAGGCCACAGCTGGTAGAGGACAGAACTGGAGCTGGAACCCAGGTCTCCTGACTCCTACTCCAGAGCTCTGTGTGCCCACTCTGCTGTCACTTCCTCTTGGCCCTGTGTCAGAATCCCTACCAGTGACCAGGTCTCGGCCAAGGGCCCACCCAGAGGGCTGTGGCATGTTTGTACTTTAGCATCGCAGTGCAGTGGTGGGGGTACAGTCTAGTGTCCACCGGCCCTAGGTGTGAATCCCAGTGCTTCATGCACCAGCTCTGTGACTTTGGGGAAATCCTGACCACTTCTCTGAGGACTGGTTTCTTCAGACGTACAATGAGGCTGATAACACCCACCTCACAGGGTGGCTAAGAATTGTACCCAGAGCCTGACACATGGTAGATCCTCAGAATATGCTCCCTGACACCAAGAGGGTTGCGTTGGAGCCTTGCCTGTGTCCATACCCAGGGGTTACTGAAGGACTCCTTAAAGCAAGACTCAGCCATGCCAGTAAGCTCTGCAAACATCTGGGGTGCTCTTGACTGGCTTTGTTGAAATATTAACATTACATTCATTCCACTTTCCAAATATAACCCTGTGAACCATGAACACATATCCTTCCCCATTGCAAACTTCCCCTTTGTCGGGGAGCCACAGTTGGCGGGGAACCTTGAGCTTCTGGGGTGTGAGTAGGGGGTCAATGTCTGTCTCTTTTCCCCCAGCTCGTGCCCCTCCTCACCAGGAACTACCTCAAACAAGGCTTCATGGAAAAGACTGGCCCAAAGGTACATTCTACCACTCCCTGGGGGACTTACATGGCCCTGGCCCAGGCAGCAGTAGGGCAGAACTTGGGAGGTGGGGAAATGGGGGAGGTTGGGGGAGGTGAACAGATGTTTGAGTACAGCGATGCTTGTGGACCGCGCAGTGGAGACTGGGCGTTAGCTGACGTGTGAGCCGCGGTGCTTCTCCCCAGCGTTAGGGATGCCCACATCAGCTTCTTCCATCCTAGCTCCATCTAACTGGCCCTACCCCTGGTAGAGCAGAGCTGAAAAGGGACTCCCCGAGCTGACAGCTTCTGGGCTTTCCAGGAGCCTGCGTGCTGTGTGCCTGGCGCCTTCCAGGACTGTCCAAGGGAGACGGCGGCTGGTGACATCAGAAAACACACATGTGCACCCAGGGGCCACGTACACACCCTCCCCAGTGGCTGCTCCATTCCCACTTATCTATGGAGGAGGGGAAGGCTGTCCCTGTGCCTCCCTTCCTGAGGAGGGTCCACAGGGGCGGAGCTTGGATGCTGGGTGGGGTGTCTGTGGAGGGGAAGGGGGGAAAGGAGGGGAAAGCAGAGGGAGCTCCCTAAAAATTTCCCCAGAAGCACAGTATTCCAGTGCTTTTTTAAGAAAAGGTTTGATATGTTTATAGGATGGTCGATAAGAGGGCAGTGAAAGCTGATGGGCAATCAGTATGAAAGAAAGCCTTGGGCAGGCTGAAAAAGCAGTTGTAGGTTGTTTTAGGTTCCCTGCCTTTACTAGCCAAGGGCACGGCCCCTCCCTGAGGTTCTCGCCCCGGGGCTTCCTCTCCCTTGACCTAGGTTAGAATTTGGCCAAAGCCAGCACTTTCAGCCTTGCCAAGAAGTAGCCACTTCTGATTTCCTCAACTTCCTTTTTCTGAGACTTCTTTGTCCCCAGCCTGAAAAAGAGGGAAGCCCATCTTCGACTCAAGGCAGCACCTGGGGGCAGCAGGGTGAAGCTGGCAGGGGTGGGGTGCGAGGTTGGTGGTCGGGAGCAGGGTGGGCAGAGAGAGGCTTCAGAGCCCAAGGGCCCCGGCCAGGGCCCTAGGGAGAAGTATTAGGGTGTCTGACGGTGGAAGCTCGGCTGGAGAACCAGTGGGACTGGCCAGCTCCCTTGGCTTGGCCTGGGCAGGCCCCTGACCTCTGTCCTCAGGACTAGGTCTTGTCATCCCTGGTAAGAGGTTCCCTCTTTTGCAGCAGAGAGAACCTTTCAAGAAAAGGTGGTTCACCCTGGATTCCCAGGAGCGGAGGCTGCTCTATTACAAGAACCCACTGGTAAGCGCCACACCGGGTCCCTCCCCAGGGCGTCCCCACATGAAGCTGGGTCAGTGCTTGTCTGGGTCTCTGGCCAAGCTGCAGATGAACACACCTCCCAGAGGCCCAGGGCTAGAGAAACCCGAGGTGGGGTTTCTCTACCCCTCACTTCCCTCTACGTCACCTCCTGTGCATGGAGCTTTCCCAGTAGGAGGCTTTTCTCACCCCTCACCTTCAGGAAGTCCATTATGAGCATCCAAAATGCTGCCACTTGTAGTTAAATAGGGTGTGTTCCCTCCTTGAGTCCCATGAAGCATAGTGCTTAGGAGTGTGGGCTGTCTGGGCTCTGGTCTCGGCCCTGCCACTTGTAATGGCGTGCCTCAGTTTCCTCCTCTGAAAAAGAGGCTTCACAAGAATGCCTTTCTCAGAGGCTACTGTGATGACTATATGAGTTACTACATATAAAGCACTTAAATTCCTCGTGCTTAATTTAATAAGCTCTCTGTAAATGTTGAGTGTCTTTTTAACAGATGATGTGTGTGATTTATTTTAGGGTTTTTTAATCTTCCAAATTCTGGGTCCCACCTAGCAGAAATCCTGGCAGGGACACTCACACCCCTTTCCCAAAATAAAACTTGGGGCTGTCAGGGCTGCAGGGCCCCCTCTTCTCCCCACCCTGGGGTGGCCTCTGATGACCATGTACCCTCTGTTTTCAGGATGCTTTTGAGCAGGGCCAGGTTTTTCTTGGGAGCAATGAGCAGGGCTATGAAATACATGAAGACCTCCCCAAGGGCATCCGAGGGAATCGCTGGAAAGCTGGCATCACCATTGTCACCCCGGAGCGGAGATTCGTCCTCACCTGCCCCAGCGAGAAGGAGCAGCGGGAATGGCTGGACAGTTTGCGGGATGTCCTGTCTCGCCCCTTAACACCCCTCAATCTCATCAGTGAGAAGCAGGAACTGGGGGTGGTTCTTTCGGCCAAGGGCAGAGGGCAGAAAGGGGCTTCTTCGCTTAGGTTCACCTGTGATGCCAAAAAAGTGCCCTGGCCATGCTCTTTCCGTGGGCTTCTCTTCCCGCCAAGGAAAAGCACAAGACAGTGCGTATCACTGCCCACCCTCAGTTCCCTAACAGAGCCCTTCCCCAGGAGCTTCTAGAGGAGACTGGCTCTGGCAGAACCCTTGACGCTGTGTGTACCCCACTCGGTCTAGGGGCTGAGCAGCCTCTCTCCCTCACTCCTCCTCCTCCTCCTCCTCACTATCTTTTCTCGTGAGAAAACCGTGGCCTGTTATTATTAGCTAAGGTCACACCCGCTGGGCAGCTCCTGGGATTTTGGATTCCTCCCTACCCCAGAGGGAAGGCTATTTCTAGTGCCTTCTTTTCTCTGGACCCTCTCTTCTGTCTGCCTCTGTCCTGGTCCTCCTCTTCACTGCAGTTGTGTCACGAGTAGACTTCCCTCTCTGCTGACAGCCCTGTGAAAAAAGGAGACACATGCTGAGCTGGAGCAGGGAACTGCTGGCCCAGGGCCTGGCTTCTGGGCACAAAAGAGAAGTTGTGTGTTTGGAAAAGTACAGACTGAGCAGGTGACCCCACACAGCCCCTTGGGGGAAACCCTTGTGCCCCTGGAGTCTGACCAGTATAAACACAGACACTCTTCACTGTCCCGAATCCCAAAGCCAAAGAGCCTCAGAAACAGACTTGTAAATTGTCAGTGAAGCTTATCAGCTGGTGTTTTCTTTTCTCTGTGGGCCTCTGTATCGGAGTCTCCCTTGGTTTCTCTCTGTCTCTGTGTGTCTGTGTCTCAGAGTTTCTCTCCTTCTCTGGTGTGTGTCCCCCCTGTCTCTCACTTTTTCATTCAGGCTCCCTCTGTCTTTCTACGCCTGTCCCCTCACTGTCCCTTCCCTCCAGTAGGACTGCACTGGCATGGCCACCTCCCTCAGCCCTCTTCTTGTTTCTCTTGCAGCTGCATCAACAGAGAGTGGCTGCAGCGGCAGGTGACCATCAGCTGAGGAACCGGCTGGCCATCAAACACCCGGGGCTCCTGGTGGGAAGGAGAGGTTCTCACTGGGTCCTAGTTGCCCAGCATTAGTGCCCCACAGCCAGTAGCCATCCCTGGCAGTGAACTCTGCCAACACTGAAGCTGTGGCTTTATCTGCCAGCTCCTTGGGCCCTCCCTGCTGCCCAGCCCTAGGGATCTGGGGATCTGGTACGTGGATGAATGCGTATGGCTTCCTCCCCATACACATCCAGGCTTGAAATGTCCTTAAGGCCCAGAACTTCCAGAGGTGTGGCATGTAGAGTAAACATATAAAAAAATAAAATAAAATAAAAACAACAAGGCCCAGAGCTTTCTCACATCTGAAATGGAGGCATTGCAATGAAAAGGCGTCATGCAAGTGGCATCTTGCAAAAAAAAAAAATTTTAATCTGTATCTAACCATGAGGAAATAATCAGACAAATCCACATTCTGCTAAACAACTGGGATGGACTCTTCAAACATGTCAATATCGTGGAAGTTAAAGTAGTCTGGGAACTGTTCTAGATCAAAGGAGACTAAACATGGCAACCAAATGCAATTCATGATTCTCCATTGGATCCTGGACCCTATTCTGTCAAAGAACAGCTGTAAAGGACATAACTAAGATAACTGGGGACATTTGAATATGGATGTATATTAGTTATAGAACTGTAAGATTGTGATAATTATGCTGTATTTGTATAGAAGAATGTTCTTGTTCTTAGGAGATACATGCTGAAGTGTTTAGGGGTAAAATATAATGATGTCTACAATTGATTCTTAAAATGGTTCAGCAAAAAATAAGTTTATGTGTATATGTACATGTATAGAGTATATATGTATGTGCGTGTGCATATACAGAGAGAGTGCACACCACTGTGAAAAATGTTAGCAACTGATGAATCTAGATGAAGTATAGATGGGTGTTTATTGTCCTATTCATGCAAATTTTATATAGATTTGAAAGTTTTCAAATTAACAAGTTGGAGGGAAATAAACACCAATTTTTCATTCTTTAAAAGCAGTGGTATTTCTGCATGAGTCAGAAATGTTCCTGGCCGGGTGCGGTGGCTCACGCCTGTAATCC